AAAAAAATTATATTAGTAAAACGAAGTCAGTTCGGAAATTCATCATACCAAACAACAAAACCATGAAGCAGCCTTGCATATCATCCAAATTAACTTTATGATTCGTAATTTGGCGCATTCCGCCATGACCATTACATTTGTCCATAGAAGGTAAATTAATCTGATGCCAACGTTCAATAAAACCCATTTGAAACATGCGCGTTATTTGATCGTTGATTAACTGTAAGTAAGGACTATCTCTTGGCACCAGTAATCCAATCTGTTCATCTACAAAAGTTTCCCGTCCCAATGAAAACTTGCATTCCTTATCTTTCTCGAACTGTCTCTGTATAATCAATTGAAGGTTGATACGCCAATCCACGTTTACGCGTTTACCTTGCTGCACAGCGCCAATATCCTCGCCTTGAAGATTATTGTATATTATCGCACGTTGCACAAAATCGCGGAAATTGTCGCGGGTTGATATCTAATGGTATTTTAAATTAGCGGTCTTTTAGAAACGTATATCGTCGGTTAAAGTACAAAACTGCGTATCGTCATTCTGCAAGACCGCGTAACTGGCATTAGCTGCCAAAACTTGGATTTGCTCACACAAGCTCTTGGCTCAATCCTTATCCATTCGTGCTGGCAAGATATGCGATTGCTTTATAAAAAAAAAAACCATTTTGAAATATGAGTGTGTTTACTCTCTAGAAAATAATTTACATAATTCACATACGCGGTTTTGCATTTTGTTGGTACGCGGTTTTGTACTTTAAACGACGATATGTATTTTTTGTTGTATGCTTACCGTTGAATATTTTTCGAAGTAGGAACCGTTCCGCAAACCAAACTGTTGAATGTCTCTAGNTTTTTGTTGTATGCTTACCGTTGAATATTTTTCGAAGTAGGAACCGTTCCGCAAACCAAACTGTTGAATGTCTCTAGATGCAAATATTTGGAAAAAATAATCTATACCTGGCTGAAACTGTGGAAAAGTCAGAAAGGCAACCAAGTTTCCGCTGTATGTTGTGACTAGAACAATTACAACAATCCACCATACACCGATCACTAGACGACCACTATCCGCTTTGGGTAGGTACATGCCGCCTTGCAAAGTAAGAAATAAAAGTGTGAATTTCTTGATGATCTACGATGGGCTATCAAGGCATTCTACCTTGCTGTAGCAGCGCTCCATAGATATACCAAAAACAACTTTTAAGTGTGCTAAGTCCAGTAATGCGCAAATGATCCATGGGCACC